TTGTTTAGCTGGTTTGCTATTTTTCCAGCTAACAAAAATGTAGTATCTTTGGTATTCACGTTTTGAATTTTCCATTTGTTTCTACTGGCAAACTTTAAAATTTTATAACTTAACAACAAATGGCTCAATTTGAATGATTTTTTTTTCAGTAGTCAAATTATCTAATTCTTCTTGTTTTATACTATTTATTTTTTTGAATAAGGGAAAACAAATATAATTCATAAAGTGTATATATTTTTAAATTTAATAATTTAATAGCAGTGAAATAAGGTTTAAATTGAGTCAATATTTTTTTCTGAAATTCAAAAGATACAAATTATGATTCTTTTCTAAAATATTGAAGTAATGACACACATATTGGAAAAATCTGTACAAGAAAAATTATCCAGAAACTCTTTTTCCAGAAGTTAAAATTTTTTAAAGGAAAATCCGGATTTTTAAGGTATTATTTCCAGCCCTGGTTGCAACTAGTCGCAATTAATTGAGGAGCCATATTTCTAATCTTCATCTTAAAACATAATAATAAATATGTATTTGTTTTTGATCAATAATAATTCTTTTGTATGTATGAGTGAACATTATGATGTGATAATATATTATAAAGAATTACCAAAGTTTTTAACAATCTTGACTTGACTCGTGGTTGTGAATATACATGAAGTCGAAATTAAAACCCCAAAGTCGAAATGTTTCAACTTGAGGCAACTACATAGTAAAAATCAGTCTCGACCTTATTTCGACCCTATTTCGACCAGATCTGCAAATGGTCAAAATAGTTTCGACTTCATGTATAGTTGTGAAACTTAAATAGATAGAATCTTTAGGTCTGTCGTGCGTGAAAATGAATATTATTATTATTAATTATGCGCCCGAATTTTTTACTAATGATAAAAATAAATAGAGAAAAATGCACCATCGCAGAGTATATAAGGGAAGTAAATTCTTCATTTTTTTAAAATAAATCAATTAATTTTTTAATTAAACTTTAAAAAAAACTTTAATATCAATTATTTTAATAAAAATGAGTACAGAGGAAATCGGTCAACAACATGAAATTGATAAATATTTATGTAGTATTATTAGAGAAAGACCTTCAACTATATTTAATGACAATGTTGAAGAAAATAACAATAATAATGTCTTTAATCAAATTCGAGCAAATTAAAGATATTTTCATGTCTCAGCTCCAACTGAAAACATTCAAGAAAATACTCCATGGTATCACAAATTGAACCACTATTTTAAATAGTTGCATGAAATATTGCCTTCCTTCCTCAAATTTATCAGTTGATGAAATGATTATTAGATTTTCTGGTAGAAGTCCCCATACTATTAGAATGAAAAATAAACCTACTCCTGAAGGATATAAAGTATTTGCTTTGTGTGATGCAGGGTATACATATAATTTTATGTTCACATCAAGAATTAAAAAGAATTCATTTATTCAAAATATACCAGGAGTGAATCAAACAGGATGTGAAGTTTATCATTTATTAAAAGAATTGCCAACTGGTAAATCTTTTAACATTTATATGGACAACTATTTTAGTAGCATAAATTTATTTAATTATTTACGTGAAAAAAAAATTAGTGCATGTGGTACTGCACGTAAAAATACATCCAATTTCCAAATGTTCTGAAGACTGATAAAAAATTAGATTGGGACACACTTAGTGGAGTTGTTGTGGATGATGATGTATTATCAATTTTATGGATGGACAATGGCCCAGTAACAATGTTGACTACAATCCATGAAATTACTGGTGCAGAAAATAGAGTAGAAAAAATGCATTGTTGTCCAAGGATCACAAGTACAAATGCAGCAAAAGTCAGACAAGTATTTGGAAATGCAGTTAAAAAATTTCTTCCAATTCCAAAAGTAATAGATGATTACAATGCTCATATGGGTAGTGTAGACATAGCTGATCAATTACGTGGTTATTATGCTACTCAATTGACAGCAAGGAGAACTTGGATACCAATGTTCTTTTGGTCACTAGATACTGTAATTGTTAATTGTCACTTAATCCATAAAAATTGCAATGGAGATTTGGATCACAAAGATTTTAGAATAAACTTGGCTTGGGATTTAATTAATTCTGGTTTGGATGAAAAAAATGATATTAATATTAGAAGTTCAAGAAGTACTTCAAGAACTTCAAGAAATGATAGAGCAATTTACATAACAACAAGTAACCTACAGAAAGATTAAGGCTTGGTAGGCATTTTCCTGAAATGGGTAAGAGAAAAACTTGTGTGTGGTGCAGATACAAAAGACAAAAAGAAGAAGGGAAATCTTCAGGTAATGAATTAAAATCTGTAGTTTACAGCAGTTTATGTAAAGTTCCACTATGTTTCAAGGATAATAGAAATTGTTTTACAGATTTTCATACACTAGAAATATAAATAAATCAAATTATCCAACATCTGTCTGTTCAATTAATTTTATAAAAAAATATATTAAATTTATTTATATATAAAAAAAAAATAAGATAATAATAATAATAATAAAAATATTAAAAATAATAAAATGATAATAATTAAAAAATAAATATTGTTTTGATTTAAATTAATGTTCAACTCCTTCACCAACTTTGTTTTCACTTCTTTCTCTATCTCTTCTCTCACCTCTTCTCTCAACTCCTCCCTCAAAGCCTTTCTTTTTTTTAAATGTTTGAGAACTTTTTTACTTTGTAGATCTTCAATGAAGCCAATTAGGTCATCATACATGCTATTTTCATCTGATGCGATGATATTAGATGATGCCAACTTAGCTTCTGTTCTCATTTGTTTACTTATTTGGTGTTCGGAATTAACGACTAATATACCAATTGAGGTATCACCTGGGTATGTAGCCATTACACCTTTTAATTCACGAACAGCTTGAAGGAAGGTCTTGCTGTACTATAATTTAAAAAAAAACATTAATAATATATTTAAAAATATATATATTCATATTAAATAACATGATTACTTTGCATTGGACAACTAGGACATATCTTTCACCCTCATAAACAAATGATCCTCTTAAGTCAATTCCTCCATCCCCGGAATGCCTAGAAAATAATAATATAAAAAAAAAATAAGTTTTGTTTCATCATTATCAAGAAGCAAAATAAACGTTCACAACAGGTCGTTCACAACAGGTCGTCCACCACACATCAGGTCTGGTTACCCAACTGGTAACTTTCACAAGTTGTGGCCACGAAGCGCTTTCAATTTCTTTTCATTTAAATCCTAGTAGCAGCGTAACTTCAGATACATCATAACTCAACAATCACTTAGTAAAAATACTCACTCGGTCCTCACAAGATTTATTTTATAGTCGCCCAATGTTCTTTTAACGTCAGGCTCAAATTTTCTGCCTTTATAAACGGCCATGATCGATTCTACAATTAACATTAAACAACGCGATTTCATATTTATTAAGTATATAAAATAAAAACAAAGAAAAAGGTCACACGCGCGTTCTAAATTTGCGTTTCACACATATGCACGTGCAGAAGCGGAAAGATTTAAAAATCACAAGTAGTTTGATTTTTTTTGTGCGCAATTTAAAATTTTAGTGCGCCATAGTATAAATCATAATCACACTATATTTGGTGGGTGATTATTAAATTTTGATCCTCGAAATTCTTGCAAGACAAATTAAAATGTTCATTTTGTTGCAGTATGCCCATATAAAAAACACTCCGTGACATGCCCATGAATGAAACACGATAATTAGTAAAGAATGTCCGTTGAAAAAATATTTTCAAGCCGATCATACTATATCAAGTGTTCATACATTACATCATAATAACACTATTACTATTTTTTTTTCTTTTTGAACTTTAAAAAAAATAAATTATGGCTGTAAACCTTGGCGAATATGATGAAGAACAAATTAGGCTGATGGAAGAAATGTGTATTCTCGTTGATGAAAATGACAAAAAAATTGGATCTGATACCAAAAAAAATTGTAAGTTATATATCTAAACTTAATAGTATATATGTATATATTTATTTACATGCACACACACATACACACACACACACACATATATATCAAAGGTCATCTCATGGAAAATATAAAAAAAGGATTGTTACATCGAGCATTTTCTGTATTTTTATTTAATTCTGAAGATAAATTATTATTACAACAAAGATCATCAGATAAAATCACCTTTCCAAATAATTGGACAAATACATGTTGTTCTCATCCATTAAATACTAAATTAGAATTAGAAGAAGAAAATCAAATTGGTAAATAATTATAATGACCATTTAATATTTAAACTAACACTCTTGCATGTAAACACTAATAATTATATTATTAAAGGAGTTCTTCATGCAGCTCAAAGAAAATTAGAACATGAATTAGGAATTAAAGCTGAACAAGTACCTTTGGATAAATTTAAATTTTTAACTAGAATACACTATTTGGCACCATCTGATGATGTTTGGGGTGAACATGAAAGTAAATAAATATATCTTTAATTAAAAAAATAATATCATTATTTTTGAGATATTAAAAAAAAATTTTTTTGAAATGAATCATTAGTTGATTATATTCTGATTATTCATGCAAATGTTGATCTTAACATAAATCCAAATGAAGTTAAAGAAACAAAATATTTTTCTAAAGATGAATTACAATCTAAATTTAGTAATCCAAAAGGTGAGCAAATTATATTATGATTGTTTTTGAATATTTATTACTTATTTATTTTTTCTTTTAATCATTATAAATAGATTGGATATTTACACCATGGTTTAAACTTATTGTTGAAAATTTTCTGTTTGAATGGTGGGATAACTTGAATGAATTAGATAAATTAAAAATAGATAGTAATAAGATTTATAAATTATAAATTATTTATTAAAAAAATTTGTAATACCTCAGAATATATTTTTTATTTCAAGATCTCCATACTTTCACTAATCCGTCTATACTAGATGATAGCATCTCATCTATTCTAAAATGATATGTTACATAATCTACTATACCCGGATGTGCTTCAATTGTTTTTTAATAGATCCCCCTATATAAATATATAATTAGATTGGGAGCAATTTTAAAATTAAATAATCTTAAAAAAAAAAATATAGTTGATAATACATTTAACAAATCCCAAATATAAATAGACCCATCTTCAGACCCGCTGATAATTTGAGAATCATCATTTGATAAACATGAATTAACCCTGTAAGTTGAATTCTTGTGACCTTTAAAACTAAAATAATTTTATTAGTTAATGTGAAATGATTGTAGATGTTTTTGTAGTTTTGGTACATACTCATTTAACATGCTACCATCCTCCTTATCCATTAATCTTATGACACTATCTAAAGAGCTAGCAAAGTATATAATTATTATCACTTGATAAAGTAACTGATGTTACAGGGTCTTTTTTTTTTAATAATAATTAATTAGTTTTATAATGTAATGACCAATATATATAGTGAATATGTTAAAGACTCACATGAAATATAATCAGTTAATAAAGCTCCCATACGAAGATCATGTTACCATCAGTGCTTCCTGCTACAATTTCATAATTTTTAACTTGTAGTGATGTGATACTATCTTTAGCTTCACTTAATATTTGAATTGGTGATCGTGATCTTGCTCTACAAAAAAAATGCAAATGTATGTACATATTAATGAATATTATTGATTATATGAATATTATGATTGCCATTATGAATATTACTTGCAATCCCATAATTGTATAGTTGTATCAAATGATCTTACAAAAAATATTTGTGAAAATAAGTATTTTATGTATTGAATATTAAGCAATATTATTCATCAGTTGAAAATAGATAATTACCACTAGCTATTACACTTCCATCAAAATTGAAATCAACTGAATTGATTCGCTAAATAAAATAGATTTATTCTTAATATAACAAAGTGAATATATGTACTCATTCTTTTAAAACGATATATGATATGTACCTGGGAATGTCCATCAAAACATGAAATAATTCTACCAGTTAAAACATCCCAATAAAATACTTGTTGATCACCACCACACGATACAAAACGTCTATGATCACTAGTTCTATAGAAAACTTAATTAACTAACTAATCAATTAAATCATATCCTCTAATATTTTTTATACATACATACATACTAATATCCAATATTTCTTTTCCGTGTCCTGAATAGGTTTTTATATTTAGTCCTGTTTCAGGATTCCACGGACGTATTAATTTATCATGCCCGCCACTAAGCACATATTCACCAGTCGAATTATATTTTGCTGTATGTACAGGTCTTGTATGTGCAGTAAATGTTCTAACACATTGTAATGGAAGAGGCTTCCCTGAAGTTTTCGTTGACATTTTTTTCTTTTTTTTTTTTTTTGAGATAAATTTAAAAAATTAATTTATACAACTTTTTACGTGATGCTCCCACTATATATTGATGTTGTGCGTGAATTTGGAATCTGAAATTCACACGCGTGAAATTCAAATTAGCAAATTTGATTTTCATATCGACCGATTTGGTTTTTTGGGGCCCTTTTTATATATTATTGTGTCTCGACGTTAAACACGTTAAACATGATGTGTAAACTAGTCAATAGAATTATAATTAACCCTAAAAAATTTATTTGCTCCGCTAAAAAACTATTTTACTATTCGATACAAAATCAGTACATATGGATAAGATAAAAAGACAAATAATTATAACGAATAATTTAGGAGATTAAATTAATCATCCATCAATTCTTTCTTTTAATTATTAGAATCTAATGAAATCAGATGTAAATAAAATATTGTTAGCAATAATTAATGGATAGTAAGTTCCAATTAATTAATTAATAACGGAGTTTTTATTTACCTTCAGCATTTAAGAGAAAA